TGATGGATGAATATGATGATGAGGATGATGATGATGAAGAAAATGATGAAGAATGAGGAGGATGAAGATTATGAGGATGATGATAACGACGATAGATGATTGATAAGGACGTGATGAAGATGAGGACGATGAGGATGGATGAGTATGATGTGATGATGATGGTGATGATTACAACGATCGATGATAGTAAGGATGATTATAATGATTAGACAACAATGAGAATGATGATGGTGACGACGAATAGGATGAGGATGATGATGACGGATGATGATAATACTGTAATGATATCAATAGTGGTAATAAAAATATTATAAATAATATTATTATATAACAGTACTAACAATGTAATTCATTCTAATATTAAAATATAATTTTGAAATAACAGAAATACAATACAGTAATATATACATATTATTATTATTAATGATTTCAACAATAATAAATAAACATAATACTACTATTAAAATAATAATATTTATATTTATTCTATATGTGAATGCTTTGATGAAATTGTATTTTGTACAATAGTAATAATAGTAGTAATAATAATAATAATAATAATAATAATAATAATAATAATAATAATAATAATAATATAATCTTACAAAAATAACCATTTTCTTCGCCAAGATGAACGCCATCTTGGAAATTGGCATCATGATCATTTCAATTAAAATTGATAAAGACAGTAAAGCTGGTAGTTAACTAAAGTTAACTAAGTTTATTGTCAATTTTCACATTTATAGCAAAACTAGAATATAATGCCATAGTTTTTTTCAATTTACCCCGATCCGAGTCCATATATTTAATTGTTGGGTATTTCAGAGCAAAATTTCGCTATTTTTTTTCTAGTGGGTATATATATTACAGAGAAAGAATATTTGGCCTTGGTATTTGCTGTACGCAAACTAGATTGTTATTTACGATACTCATCCTTTGAAGCCATTGTGGATCATTCCGCCCTCAAGTGGCTGTTCTCACTAAAAGATCCCAGTGGCAAATTTGCACGTTGGATAACACTATTACCTGTCTCTATATATTTGTCTGTGTGTGTGTGTGTGTGTGTGTGGGGATATATATTGTTTTGAAATTGCTCTGATAACAATAAAGTTAAACTTACATTTTAAAAGAGTTTTACCGCCAAAATGGCAGCCATCTTGGAATTCTTTGTGATGTTGTCATTATTCCGATTAACTTTTTAACGAGAGTGAGGAGTAACTATTTTGCCAAGTTCTTGTTACATTTGATATACATAGCATATGTAAAAGTGACTAAAGACCTACATTTATTTCCCCTACCCCCATCTTAATTAGCCCAAAATAGGATATTTTATGTCAAAATTTTAAAGTGCTATAAAAAGAATTGCCCAAGCTCTAAGAATAGGGATTTTTTTTCTGAGACACTATATGATATACTGATTCAGAAAAACCAAAAATAAATTTTCCTTTACTTTTTTCCCGCTAATTTCCTACTGCACCCAGGCTATGTCTACAAATAAACGTGGCTTAATTCAATTTGCGTGTGCCAATTTCATTAGTGAGCCAATTTGCATACAAAAAGGTGCCACAGTGGGTAAATTTACATGTTTGTCAGGTAATACAACGGTGCATATATTGTTAGATGAGATTGTAACCAGTTCAGAGGTTACTAATACATTCCAAAATGGAGTTAAGGCTAATTTAAAAGAAAGGTGTGATAAATGTTAACGTACATAGAGGTATAAGTAATAACATAGTTTCAAATGCATATGGGATGAATTCTGACAATACCACGTTCTGTGCACAAAGTTATGGTGTCGGAACTAATGACAAGGTACTAACTGAGTCAATGAGTCAAACAATAAAGTGTATCAACAATAGTGTCGGTTATAATAAGGGTAAATGTAAGATACCAGTGAGTCAGATTATATCATATGTATCAGAGGGTGTAACTGTTCCTGTGAACACCGCCTGTCCACATGCTATAGAGGTTAATGTAATTTCTGACACCACAGAGGGCATGCATACACACGGTATACCACCAACGGACACACCATTAAATGTTGCACACAAAGTGAACATGTCCAACACAGACTTAACAAAAGCACAGCAGAAACAGTTACTGACACTA